CTACCGCAGGGGTTCCAGGGTTCACTGGAGGATGCCGCCGGGATGCTTTTTGAGGCGATTGGCTGTCCAAACGCTGGTGGTCGCATAGTGGCCACCAGAAGATGGACTGCCACTCGTTCTCATCCAAATCCGACCGATACTACGTCCACTTTCGTCGTGCGTATCGACTCAACGGTGGTGCGTGATGTCATACTGGAGCGCTCGGGCAGGCTCGCTGGGAAGACGGCGAGGGACATTTTCAAGTGCGGTCACGGAAACTCCGTCTTCATCCGCCAACTGTTACCGCAGCCGATCCACAATCTCTTTGTAAAGGCGCTCGCGCGCAGTCGTGAGTTGGGTTTCGCGCGCCCTTTCGTCTCGAGTATGGTCGTCCATATGCGGGAGAATACACGTTCCACCCCGATCCCAATCACGTCGGAGTGACCTTGACACCTGCACGCCTTTGCCTCCCGGTCAGCCTCCTGCCCAGGCCGCTCCGCCCTCTAGTGCCATGGCAGTGGCTGCCACTCCGATCGGCATTCGCAGACATGCTCCACTCAACCTTAACTTCGCGCCCCAGGTGGTCAAATCGCGACCTACTGCCTCCATCCCAAAAAACCCGGCTCCGCAATTTAGCAAAACAGACGGTTGTTTTAGCCCGACAGTGTCTGTCTTTCCGGCCCAGCTATCTCAAGTCATCTCATCTTCATCTCCTTCAGTTTCTGGTCCATGATGCCAACTAACCCGGGACCATACCCCGCCCTCTGCTTCCTTCGTTGTTGGCCACATCAATATAAACAGACTAAATTCCCCCTGTCACTTTGCTCTTCTCGAAGCACAAGCCATTTCTACACATTTTGATGTCATAGCCATTACTGAAACTTTCCTCTCACCTGATATCTCTAACTCACAACTCTCTCTCCCCGATTTCTATTTTTTCAGGCTTGACCGAATGGAAAGCTGGGTGGCGGTGTTGGCCTGTACGTCAGATCTCACCTTAAATTCAGTTTCCTAGCTACTTCAGATCCAGTTTTCGATAACACACCTGAATTCAGCCTAGGTGAAATAAAGTCCGACAACACCAAGCTTTTGATGGCGGTGGTATACAGACGTCCCTCTGCTTGCTCTCCCACACACTTTTTCAACTGCTTGGCCATTTACCTCCCTCTGTACGGAAATGTCATCATTACCGGTGATTTTAACGCAGACCTAGGTTCCAGCTCTCTGCCGGATGCTCGAGCTTTGAGATCTCTCGTTGACCTGCACAACCTCCACTTCGTATTCACTGCTCCCACTCATCACTGTCTTGATACAAATCCCCCTTCCCATACTACTCTTGACCTCTTCATAGTGAAAGACCTAAATGCTATCCAGACATTTGGAAAGTCTGATACTCCTTTTAGTGCTGGTCATGATTTCATCTCGCTCACCTATCGCTTCGCTACTAACAAGCATATCACCAGAGTCATTAGGTCCCGCGGTTTAAATCGGGTGGGCAAAGCGGCCTTAAATGGGACCCTCAGGGGCCTTCTCTCGTGTCTGGTCGACATTTCTTCAACACGACTGCAGCACTCTTTCGACCCGTCGATCGAAGCCGACGTGCATCCCCTTGACAACTTGGTGCACTCTCTCACTGAAGTCCTCATAAAATCCTTTGACGAGGTAGCCCCTCTTAGGTGCATCAGGTTGTCATCTAGGCGTAAACCCTGGGTGACTCCGAGCATTCTTGCGCTTATGAAAAAGCGTGACGCTGCCTATAAACTGGCATCCTCCTCCCGCTCGGGCAGTGACGTCCCTGGGTATCGAAGACTACGCAACGATGTCTCAAATGCCCTCGACTCTGCAAAAAATTCTTGCATTTCAGGCAGACTGTCTTCCGCAGCCACCAGCAAGGCCAGATGGAGAGAGTTACGAAACTTGGGAGTCACAAGGCGCGCTCTTCCATCCCCATTTCAATTTTTTTCTCCATCCGTACTAAACACCCACTTTGCCAACATAGTCAACTCGTCTCCTCCATTGACATGTGACTTTTTGGACGCCCTTTTAGCGAGTCCCCCAAACGCTCCTCACGTCCACTCCCCATTCAATTTTCGTGAGGTCACTTGCCAGGAGGTCATGGATGCACTAAACTCGTCCACATCCAGAACATTCGGTCCTGATGGTTTGTCTGTCAAGATGCTTAAACTCGTCTCCTCTTCTTGTCTCTCATCTCTCACGCACCTTGTTAACAAATCATTACTGTGCGGCGTCTTTCCTACCTCCTGGAAACGGTCTCTCATCACCCCTCTTGCCAAAGTACCTTCGCCCGCTCTTTTATCGGACATCAGACCGATAGCAAGGTTATCTGAGGTATCAAAGGTGCTTGAGAGGCTCGTTCATTTACAACTCTCGTCTTACCTGGACCGCCACAAGCTGCGTGATCCACGGCAGGCGGGTTTCGTGCGGTTTCACAGCACCCAGACAGCTCTCCTGGGTGTCCTGGACGACGTCCGCAGGGCTATTGAGGAGCGTAAAATTACAATCCTCGTCCTACTGGATTTCTCCAGGGCTTTCGACGTTATCCCCCATGGTCGTCTGATGGTCAAGCTCAGGGACCTATGCCTGTCTGATGTTCTGGGATGGTTCTTCAGCTATCTGACTGACAGGTTTCAGGCTGTTATGGGGGAGGATGGCAGGGTGTCGGATTGGCTCAGGGTTGCTACTGGAGTACCGCAGGGTAGTATTCTAGGACCATTGCTATTTGCAATCTTTATCTCGGACCTGCCCTCTGTTCTCTCCTTCATAAACTACATGCTTTATGCCGACGACACGCAGGTCTATCTTCACTGTCATCCCAGCAGCCTTGCGGAGGCTTTGGGGAGGGTGCAGCTTGATGTGCAGGCTATAGGGCACTAGGAAACGGTATCTCCCTGAACCTCACCAAGACCAAGGTCATGATACTAGGCAGCGAACAGTACGTTAGGGCTATCAACTTGAATGACATCGTGAAGATCACCATCAACGAGGTTCCACTCGACTATGTTACTAGTGCTCGTAATCTGGGTGTGACACTTACTCCCACGTTAAACTAGTCCGAACATGTGAGAAGCGTGACGAGGAGGGCATACAGCTGTCTGGCTTCACTTCGTTTCCACAGGAAATCTCTCTCGACTACCCTCAGAAAAGTTCTTGTCGAGCAACTCGTTTTCCCACATTTCGATCACCTCTCAGTTGTTTGTATTCAGCTTGATGGAGAGCGCTCGTCTAAGCTTCAAGTTGCACAAAACGCCTGCGTACGCTTCGTAATAGGATGGATCCCTTTTATACCTTCTCTATCCTTAAACAGCCACATCACGTACCATAGACTAGCCCTGGGCTGGCTATCCCTTACCCCAAATAGGTATAGAGCCCTTGCCGTTCTGGACTTCTCTGTTGTGTCCAGAAAATCGCCGCACTACCTGGCTAAAAACCTGTCTGTCCTGCTCGATGGTGTCATTATCTGGCGCTCGGGTCGCCACCCGCCGTCGGCGTTTGAATACAAGGCCCCTCGAACTGAGGCATGGAACCATTCCTTTGCTATCCTTGCTCAGAGAATACTCAACTCACTGAGCGTGACCCTGTTCTCCACCGATCGGATCCCTAACTTCAGGGATTGGACCCGTGATCTATTCTGAAACTACGAGGCTAGAGCATGGATTGAGAAGGCGACTCGCGAGAAGTTAATGCCAGTACCGGCACTGTCCGATTATACTCGCATACCAAACAGGGTCAATCCAGCCGTGTTCTCCCAAAATTATCCATCGTCCCACACTTACCCCTCTATCGATCTATGGTTCATGAAATAGCTAATTGAATGGTTATTTTCTAGCCGAACGCACGACGATCCACCTTTATACCTTTCCTCTTTTCAGACCTTCCTTCTGTAAAACAGGTGCCATTCGCGTCTTTACTACTCTTGCTACTTTTATTATTTTTTACTACTTTTAGTATTTTGTTGTTCTTATTATTTTTATTATTATCTATTACCTTTATTGTCTTTATTATTTTAGTATTATTTTTCATCTTTTATTATTGTTAATTTTGTCGTTTTATCTGATAACTCATTTATATTATTCTTTATATATTTTATTTTACTATATTTTCATATTTTATTCTATTTTTATTTTTACATATGTACTCTTAGTGTTTACTGTTAATGTCATTGGAAACTCGCTGCTCACCGTATATACTACTCACACAGTTTCACATAATTCATCTTCTTCAAATAGTTAAATGCGTCACTATTCATCCTTGCATCTCCTCTTTTGTCATGTTTAAATTTTGTTATTATTTTGTTATGTACATTTTCCAAACTGCCAGACGGGGTTCCACCTCATTGGCGCAATAAACGAACTAATCTAATTTAATCTCTCAGCGTTAAAAGAGCCTGAAAGTAACTGGCAGTCTATTCATATTGATTACGCAGGACCATTTCAAGACCATAATTTCTTGGTTATAATTGATGCTAAATAAAAATGAACAGAAATTGAACTAACTTCAACAGCGCCAACATCAACATTTATAATCGAATTACTCAAAGAAGTTTTTTCACGAAATTGTTTTATAAATGTAATGGTTTCCGATAATGCTACTATATTTACGAGTGACGAGTTTCAAAACATTTGCAAGGAGTGTGGTATTTTTTAAAAATTCATTACATCAGGACACCCAGCTACCAATGGTTTAGTTGAAAGGAACATTCACACCTTGAAAAAGGGACTTTCCGCTATGATCGAAGAGACATTAACTATGCGCCAAAAAGTTCGAGAAATTCTATTCAGGTACTGAGCAACGCCCTTGGAAAATGGCAAAACACTTACAGAATTATATTATTTTTTTTTTTTTTATTTGAAGCTTTCAAATCATTTACAGATTTATTCGCTTTACAGTAGGTAATAATAACTTGATATACACTTAATATACATGTTTATATACGCTTATGGAGAGTTTTAGCATTGGAATATATACAGTAGTGATATTTATATTTTGCTAGTTTGAACAGATTAAATGCGTAGCGAGCATTTTTTGAGGAAATTTATTATGCGAGAACACGCAGCAATATCAGGCTCTTTAATTATCGCTTCGATGGACAATGGAAACTGAAGATTAATTTGTGAGAGTTGAGCATACAGTTCTATTCTTTGATCGTAATATGTTGGACAATCCCACAATATATGTTCAATATCTTGGGAAGGATATGAACACGGACAACTGGCATCTCCAATAATTGACATCCTAGCGAGAGACGCATTTAGATTGTAATGATTTGCTCTCAGCCGGTTTATTGTAATTATAAACTCACGCGATAGCTTTTTTCCTTGGAACCATGGTTTGTTACAGTCTTTATAATAGCGGTCAAAGTAGCGTTTGCCTTTATCCAGGTCAGTATTTGAGAGTGTCATTTTGGTATTGTCTTTCATGTTGCATTTAAAAGATTCTTTCAAGTCGGAGAAGGGAAGTTTATCTAAGTCAACCGGTCTACGACTTGCTGCATGTTTAGCTTGTGCGTCTGCAATTTCATTACCCGTGATCGCTGAGTGTGAAGGAATCCAATAGATTTGAATGTCTCCAGTTGCACTTTTTTGGTCTTGAAATTGAAAATATTTAAGTTTAATATCTAATAGGTAAGGGTTAGTTTTGATGTTCATCATTGGATTTTGTAAGCGTTCGAGAAGACTGAGCGAGTCACACATAATGATATTGCAGGTATCAGTGTTATGAAGAGCCAGATCTAACGCATCTCTTACTGCTATACATTCGGCGGTAAATATTGAAGTTTTTTTGTTTAGGCTTCTATTAATTACAATATTTTCCTTGAGATCTACGCAGGCTGAGCCAGTAGAGAGAGCGGATTCACTTCTACTGCCGTCAGTATAAAATATTTTAGAATTTGGAGAGTTGAAGTCATTACATATTTGCTTCAAAGATGTGTTTTGCTGTCGTTTTAATTCAGTTATTTTCTTAAACGGGACTGGGTTCATAATGATGCTGTAGTCATACATATAAATACTATAATTTCGTGTCTTGATTATATTTTTTGCAAGACAAACTACGTTTTCGATGCAAGTTTCATAGATCCTTTTCTTTTTTCTTTTGCTTTGATGGTTTTGGGTATAGAACTTTCCGACAGTTTTGTTTATAGCCAGGCTTTCATTCGATAGAATTTTTGCTATGTAAGTGTTACAAAGAAACTTGGCTCTTTCGTGAATGGTAGGTAGTTTGGATTCAGCTAATAAAATTCTAGTAGGAGTCGTTTTGCGGAATCCGAGTGCAAGTCTGATAGCGTTGAATTGTATTCTTTCTAATTTAACCTGCTGTTCTTTGCGTTTTGGGTAGTATACATATAGCGCATATTCTATTATCGACCTATCATAGCTTTTGTAAAGTGTTAACAGTGTCGTTGGGTCTGCACCCCACCAAATTCCTTGTAAGTATTTAATCAAATTCGATGCTCTGGCACATCGAGAGATGACTTTGTTTATTTGTGGGATAAAGATCAGTTTGTAATCAAAAATTACTCCGAGGAATTTGATCGATTTGCTGGACTTTATTACTAGATTATCCACCTTAATAACTGTTTCTCCGGGCTTAATATTTTTATTATTAAAGTGAATGAAAATAGTTTTTTCTGGAGCAAGAAGTAGATCTATAATTGTGAGATTTGTTTTTATTTGATCAACTGCTTTCTGAAGAGATTTTAAATTGTTAGAGTAAAGCGCTATGTCATCTGCGAATTGTGATATTGAAACTCTACTTGATATGTTTTTTATTATATTAGCTACAAAAATTATATAGAGGAGCGGACTTAAGACTCCTCCTTGCGGTACACCTTTATATGCTATTTTAGGTTCTGTGATTTCATCCGCAAAGACTTGTCTTTCCATTGTTATATATTTAATTAACTTTATAAATTTAATTAACATAAGAGGGCAGTCAATTTTCGCGAGTTCGTCGAGTAGTATTTTAATGTTGACATTATCGAATGCTCCCTTAACGTCAAGAAAAGCAGCATATACATCTTTCTTTCTACGTAAAGCTGATTGAACCGAAATCGTTAAATTAAGTAGGTTGTCTTGACAAGATTGACCTTTTCGGAAGCCGCTTTGGCTATCTGGAAGTATCTTTTGTGTCTCAACCCACCATTGGAGTTTATTTTTTATCATAGTTTCAAACAGCTTACATAGAGCGGATGTAAGAGCGATAGGTCTATAACCTTTATTATCAGGCTTAGGAATGAGATGCACATAAGATTTTTTCCAATCGGCCGGGAAATCGCTAGTGGTGTACATTTCATTGAGAATGTCGAGGAGAAGAAGCTTATATTTGATTGGTAGTTTTTGCAGCGTATAATAGTCTATTCCGTCAAGACCGGGTGATGAGCTAGTGTTTCGAGAGTCTAAAGCATGATTAAATTCATCAAAGTTAAAAGGGCATTCAAGAAAATCGTTTGTTTGGCACGACGGTAAGTAATTGATGTCAGGGCGCGATGTAACAGCAGGGCATAGCTTATTGAGCGCTTCTAGTTTCTTGTCAAGCTGTAAGTTTTCCGGTACGTGCGAGACATTAACCTTAATCCATTTATTTTTCAAAATTTTACTGGTGTTCCAAACATAGCGACCATCAGTTAATAAGTTAATTGTGCTTGCAAACTTGACATAGCTTTCTTTCTTTTTCTTTTTGAAGATTTTTTTGATAAGGCTAGCAACCTTTTATACTCTACTAAATCGTCAAGGTTTTTCGTTTTTTCCCATGCTTTAAAGGCTGAATTTCTGTGCCTTTTGACTTCAGAACACTCCTTATCCCACCATTTTACAGGGTTGCGATGGATTTTAATATTTACTATTTTCTTTTTGGGTGTGCTGCCAGAAACTATTCGAGTAATATGGTTAACAAAGTATTCATATTTATCGCTCGCACTGAGGTTACAGAATTCGCTAGTTAGATAATTTTCAAATGAGTCTGATAAGTTTTGTATAACTTTGACCTAGTTTGTTTGCGTAGATCTAATTCTATGACTTTTTTTATGATAAATATACTTTTCGGCGCTGAAATTGACAAAGATAGGGTAATGGTCAGAGCTCCAAGTTTCGTCATTTACTTGGATGTCTATTTTATCAGCTATATTTTTAGTCGAGAGAATTAAATCAATGTTCGATGAAGAAGTATAATCAATGTGGGAGTATGTGTCAGAATTGTGTATAAAGAATTTGTGTTTATCTATGCATTCAAGTAAATTTTCCCTATTAGCGTCAGTTTTATTGCAGTTCCAATCAATATGGTGAGCATTGAAATCTCCGACAAAAATGCAGTTGTTTTCATTTTTAAAGTTATTAAAAACCATGTCCCATTCTTCAAATGTAAAGACGAGACCAGGGACTCTATAGCATGCGATTAGACTTATTGGTGGGGTAATATTGTTAATTTTAATTCCGCATAGTTCGAACGCTCTGTCAGGAACTTTTAAGTTTTTAATTTCGCAATAGGCTAAGTTTGATTATATTAAGAGCAGTATACCGCCACCTGTTGTGTGTGTCCTATCCAGCCTGTAGTTGATAAAACCTGGGAAGTTGATGTTCTTGATCCCTTCGTGAAGCCAGCTTTCAACGCAGACAAGGATGTCAATATCAATAAGAACTGACGCCAATTCGTCTTTACGTTTTAGGAAACTTCTAGCATTCCAGTAGAGAATTTTAATTTGTTTGTTTATTGTTTTTTCACCCATCTTGAGAATTTAATGAGGAAATCGAACTGTGATGATCGGATTCATCGTTTGAACTGTCAGTAATTTCAGCCTCTTCTATAGAGTTTATTTTCTCGAGTTTGCTAATCATCTTCGTAATGCGAGCTTTTAGTTTGCGTATTACATGTGGATATGTGTCTCTGAGCATCTTGATAAGTCCTTGAATATCTGTAGTAAGACCTTCTGCTAATTCTCTCAAGTTTGGATTGCCATATGATTCTTTAAGGAAGACGGCAAGTTTGTCGAAATCAAGTGGATAGTCATTTCTATTTTTTAAGAGGAAATTTTTGGCTGGAGCGAGTAAAGTGTTTATTTCATCCTGCGTGCATTGATTTGGTGTTACTTTTTTCAAACGTTTTCCATTTGTTGATTTTTTGTTCTTGTTACTTTGACCATCGGGATTTTCTTCCATCGATTGAAACTTCTCAGGTGCTGATAAAGTAGAGCCGGAGAGAACACTAGAAGTTCTTTTCATTGCTGGATTCATAGGTAGGGTTGAAGGGGGGGGGGCATTTCTTGTTTATGTGTGTTTGCTACTTCTGTAGTAGCGTTGGTTGTGCCGATGTCACTTACATTGCTTTTGTTTTGGTGATTACTTGAGTCTACTACCATATCTGCGTCTGCACTATTGTTTACTTCGTGTGCTTTGCAGTCCTTAGCCTCGTGACCCTCTTCTGTGCATAAGAAGCAGCCAATTTTACCGCTCGAGAAATATATCCAAAATGTTGTTTTGTCGTACTCGATTTTCATGCTACTCGGGAGCTTTTCGAAGTCTTCAGGGCTTATATATACTTGTCGCCTAAAGCACAAGACATGAGCGTACTCCGGCTCGTTAATGCTAGCTTTGATACACGTGATTTGCGAAAGTGGAGTGATGCCGAGGGCCTTGATTTCATCTTCGATAATGTAATGAGGAATAATAGGGCAAACGTTGGAAATAATTGTTCTCTTTGCTTTGGATATCAGAGGTCGTAGCGTAAGAATGTGCTGATCAATGTTTATTTTCATGCCCGGCTCAGTAAGCTTGTCGACTAATTCCTGTGAACTTAGGTATGCACAAATTCTGCTATTCGAAATTCTTGAGACAAAGAGGATGTTAACAGGCTTGACAATTGCTCCGATGGCGAGAGTATAGTCTTTGATTGTTAATCCTTCAATAGCATCGGTAACAATGGCTTGATCTTTTTTGGGAAATTGAGTGATCTGCGCTACTCTGGAGTAAGACAATTTGGGTTTGATTTGGATCTGTGAGGGGTTTATTCCATTTGGAGGTGAGGTACTTTGAGAGATGAGGCCCCTGTAGTCAGAGGTCATCTTGAGGGTTTGAGAGTGCACAGCTGAGATAGTGCACACGCACTATCTATCACTATACACTAGAACAGCACTATATAGAAACAGTCACAAGCGTGTACTTTACTACCATGCGCTGTGGTAAGCACTCGTTCGCGCTCCTGATTGTAAACACGTCTTTACTCGCCGGAGGTTCAGACGAGACTCAGAATTATATTATATCGTCAAATTCGTATCCTTTCTAATGCACTAAAATCAACTAAATTTGAGAAAACTTTTGCGCCGGATAAAACCGTACGTCAATTAAATATTGGAGAGAGAGTGCAAGCACGTTACTATTCCAATAACAAAACACAGTGGAAACTTGGTACTATCATCAAGAAATTTGGTCATTTTCATTATTCAGTAAAACTGGATAATGGGTATGTTTTCAAGTGGCATATAAATCAACTTCTTCGAACAAACGTCAATATCGGGTAAAATCGCATTTATGAGGCTGTTTTATGGCAAATGCGCGGAAGACCAGAAACATACAGCGACGCGACAGGATGAGCAACAAAGAGACGTGGGCTCGAGCGACGCAAGCTTCTGCTTCGAGACTCTTTGGACAAACGGCACGCGAGATCGACTGTTTAAGGATCGAGTTCGATTCGGTCACAAGCGGTGGCTGAGGCTATGCGAAACGGTTCCCGAATGCGAACATATGGAACGCGAGCGAGAGGTTGGAGAGAAACAGGCTGCGCAGAAATCGATGGTGAACCAGGGAAACGTCCAGGAGTTTCCGACGGTTGGGCATGGGTCAATCGGGGAGGATCTGATGAGAACGCCAGTAGCAGACACAAGTAACGAACGCACGCACTTGATTCAGCACGAAATAGATGTGCAGGGTGCCTTGCGATTGGTCGCCTAGGATTAACCTATTAGAAGAGCGAAGCATAATCAGCGTTGTCAAGGCACTTCGGTAGGGTATATAGACCCCTGCAACAACAAACTAGATCAATTGTTTAAATGCTCCTGTAGAGAGACCATCAAAAAGCAGAAAAACCAGCCATCATGGTTCTTTTAATTTTTTTACGTAAAATCCTTCCTATTCTAGACCTTAAGAATTCAGACTTCGACATTATCAAAAATCTACCTCTCGAAATTTTCTAAATAATTTTTAACTACCTGGACCCTCGATCTCTTACGAATGCTTCCTGGTCCCATCATTACCTCTCCATTCGCAAATCCACTTCTCATTTCAGACAACAAATCCATCGTCAGATTCGCCGAAACATCCCAGTTCAACGTTCTCCCTTTTACAATTTAATATCAGACCTTACACTTTTACAACCTTACCTTTTTTTCATATTGCATTGATTATAATTAGGTGGATTTTTTACATAAGATATAGCGAAAATAAATAAAATACTACAAATTTTCATCCAGCTGCATTCCTATGGAATTCCAAAGAAAACCCAGGAGTATTAAGCATGTAAAAAAATGGAAGGCAACTGAATTGAGATTCTTTTTATTGTACTGTGGACCTTTAATTTTACAAAATTTAGTGCGAGGCGATTTGTACAAGCATTTTCTACTGTTCCATGTGTCTACGAGAGTATTGCACAGTGAAGAGTATAAACAAAAATCAGAAATGGCCAGATTGAATTTATTAAAATTTTTCAAAGGGACTTGTTCTTTGTATGGTAGACAAGCCTTGATCATGAATATTCATAATGTGTTACACGTTACGGATGATGTAAAGAATATGAATATCAATTTATCTAAAATAAGCGCTTTTCCGTTTGAAAACGCTTTGGGCATATTACGTAAGTATGTCCGCACTCCGAATAAACCTTTGGCTCAGGTTTGTAG